ACCTGGGACCCTTCAGTCTGCAGTCTGACGCTCTATTCACTGAGCCAAACCGGTTAGGGCTGGATGTGAGATCTTAGGCAAGTCACGCGTCTGAGTCACCTGGAAGAACTCACAATCCCTTCCCATTCCCAGACCTGCAATTCTAAGGAGCTGGCTTTTTAGAGCTGCCCTCGCCACCCAGCAAGGCAAATAAATGTCCAGTAACACCTGCAGCTTATCTTATCTCTAACGTGCCATTACTTCCACAGTGGACATGCAGCTGCCTAGCACCAGGCAGGGAGTACAGCAGGAAGAAGAGCACTGAGAGCCACAAAAGTCAACCTCTTTAATCTCTAAACCTCCAGCGGGGGGAACGAGGATGAGCTGCTATAACTAAGGTGTTCGTCTCGATTCCTCCTTCTCCCTTGACCTCTCACCCACCTTCTGATAAAACCCCTCTCATTCATAAGAAAAATAAAATAATCAATACATGTATGTATATCACGTAATATCTCAAGTAGCAGTCTCACCCCTCTCCACCTCAGCTTCTCACTCTCCAGAGAAATTAATACACCTTCTACTCCTGTGGCTCTTCTTGTATTTGTCTCCATTTTTTTTTCAACCCCATGTGGTTTATGCTATTTTCTGATGTGCAGATTTGGATATTATTTAAGGACTGCTTATTGTGGATGAAGATCGAGCCCTTTTATACACCCTCAAGTATCTTCCTATAAAGCAAATATTTCCCTAATCCCCCAGCTTTAGAGCCAGAATCCAGCCACTCGGCACAGTGACAGCTGAAGCACTGACCACACGTGGCCAGATTCTAGGTCGGCTGCTCCAGAAGTATGTGTGCCCTGCAGCTGCATGCTCCAACGATCCTATTAAAACGATCCTTGTCTGCTATGAAGATGCTAATCCCATTTAAAAATTACTTCAGAATTCCGCAGCAGTAAATAAACCACCTGGTTTGAATGGACCAAACCCTACACAACAGGGATTTGGAACCAGTGCCAGTTCATTTTCTCTCCTCACTCTGCCCAAGAATCCCTTCCCTGCCGGTTCCAACCCCGCACCTGGAGGGACCTGGGAGGACGTCAGTTCTAAGTTGGGGAGCAAAGCAGCTCAGCTTATCCACAGAGCTGAACAGCCCAGACCTGAAGTTCACAGGGCCTCCTCCACGGAGACAAAAGCACCGCAGAGGGAACAGACTAGGGGGTCTTTCTCTGCCTCTCGTCTCCCAGCTCGGAAGGGACAGAGGGGAGAAGCTGCCAGTCAGGTGCAGCAGTGAGAGTGTGCTCTCAGCAGTGTACAGAATGCAAACCTTTGCTGCTGTTTTATGTTCTTTGCGTGACTCATCTTACACATTGCCAAGTGGCTCAGGCACTGGAGTTCCTGGCACCTCCGTGTTTAATGCTGGGCACTCTCTTGCCACCAAGGGCCACCCCTTATAACTGAGGTCTCCCTGGAGTGGGGGGCTGTGAGAGGGCCGTGCCACAAAGGAGAAAGCGGACGAGAGGGTAAGAAGCAGCGAGAGGAGCCAACAGCTTAGAGCCGGTGACAAAGCCAGGGCTCCACTCCTCGCTGTAGACCGAGCACAAAACAGCTGGAAACATGGCACGCAGTCACTGAGATTCCCTCAAGATCACCCCCTTCCAATGGCTCTCCAAGATAACAAAGCAAGTGAATAAAGTAGGAAAACCTGTGATTTTACACACTATACAGTCATCCCCACCAAATGCCATCTATAGGGTCTACGACTTAAAGCAAAATGATGTATAACGAAGCCCATTTTACCAGAGGCCGTACCAACAATGCAAGAGTGAAGTTCTTACACTGTCTCATCGTCGTTATAACAGAACGATGTTGAATGAAACGCATTACTCCGGGCCTGTTGTATCTGGGGGTCAGATCACCCATTTATTTATTTATTGGGTATTTATAGAGCAAAGCTTTCTAGGGTTGCAGAGGCTAAAATAATGAATAACCTGCTTCTAATTGGACAAAGATTCATTCACTCAGCAAATAAAAGAGGAAAGCCAAAAAAGGGGGCAGGCTTTTAAGTGGCCTGAGAAATAAGCAGAGTGCTATGGGACTTTAAACAAGAGAGAACAATCATATTTGGTCGAGGGAGAAATACGAGGGCACATGAATGGATAAACAGCCCAAACTCAGAAAGTCGGAATGGTTGCTAATCAAGTCTCTGGTGGCGGTACTGGCTGGAAAGATGTGGACACACACCAGGCTGGTGGCAGTGATGTGGACAGGGGAGCCTTGGGAAGACTGTGGAGGCCACAGTGTTGGCCACAGGTGCACAGGCAGGGCAGGTGTGCATACGTGTGTACATGCGTGCACACACTAAAAAGGGCACGAATTTAACTGAGAAACTGCAACATGGCTGTACCATCCTGAGAAGTCAGGCGGAGAGGCTGCTTGGGGGTTAACCATCAGGGCTGGGAAGTGTGAGCAGGGACAGCCCATGGTTGGTGAGCACCCAGGCCGGACAGCTACCCCTCAAGGAATTGGGCTGCCCCTTCCTCCACCTCCACTTCATTCCCTAATGCAGAATGTGCATCAATAGACTAACCCCAAGCAACCCCCGAAACAGGGACCCCCTGGCTCCACCAGCAGAAACAGAGGATACGCTCGTGGTTCCTCCAGTGACACCTCTACAGGTGTTCCTACACACATGCTGTTCTCGCAGGAAACTCTCCCAATCCCATCGCAGGCGGTAAGTTACACTCTTTCACTGATAAATGAGTTCTGAGTTCTAAACGCTTGTCTTACCCATAAAAGGTGTTCTTTAAAAAGAAGATTTTAAAATTGATTCCGAGAGCGAGCAGACACATGGGAAACCTGGTGGGTAAGCCTCGATGACCCTCCTGTCATTACACAGGATGTTTCTAACCGTCAGTGACCTAATGACTGGGGCTGTCTTGAGAAGGGAGGTACTATTGTTAACAGTCCCTTCTTTGTAAACGAATGGCACGAAGGCCACTGGTCCTAGACATCAGGGCTACACGGAATGCGAGTAAGTGGGGCTCCTTCTCCCGTGAGTTCCAAGGGTCTGGGAGCAGCAGGGCTGTTCCTACACTTCCTTCCAGGCACTCGGCGACACCCTACAGCGGCATGTTGATGCCCCGTGGATGAAAGGGCAAAACCAGGAGGACGCTGGCTTCCATCACCCGGCTCCCGCTGCCCTCTCCCGATTCTATAAATCATTCTGGCAGGTAGCTGGGAAGCAGCTGCGGGTGACAGTTCTGCTCTGGAGCACAGGAAGCCACCTTTTAACCCTCCTGCTGTTGTTTGTCTCCCCAAATGTGACAAAGGAACAGATGTAAGCAACATGCCAACTGCTGAGAAGATCTGCTCGGAGCACTATAGGAAGCCTGCTCAGAGCCACATCACACCAGCCGCTCCAGGGAAGGACAACTGAGCTCATTTCCTGACACCCCCACGCACGTCAGGCTGGGACCCGCAGGCCGCTCACCATGCACATCCCGGCATCCGCCTTCGCCCCTGTGCTCCCAGCCTTGAAGCCCCTTCCCGAGCCCTGTTCAAATGCCGCCGCGGTCCAGGCGGGCCTCCCCACTAGTGGTCTTCTCTGACCTCCCCTACCGTAAAGCCCCTGGTTCAGAGGGCTCCAGTCTGTGCCAGTCTAAGCCTGTCAGAGCCAAGCTTATCTCTGTTCAAACCACCCTGCTCCCTGAACCAGGGCTGTAGCCTCGCTTTACACACACCTCTGGATTCCCAAAGCAGTTTTTCGAAATCACTAGCTGTGAGGAGTCTATTGGAAAGCACGTTGAAAGGCGTGCAACCAATATTTTAAAATAGGAAATAAAAAATTGCTTGTAAAAGATATTCTTGGGACAACTGGGGAACTATTATCCGACAGGAGATTCCTATGAATTTTCTTAGGTATAGGAATGGTGTTGTGCTTGTGTAGAATACCACCTTATTTTTAGGAGGTGGATGCTGAAGTAATTCCAGGTGACTTATTTTTAACCAACCAGCAAAAATATACGTGTGGGGGGGGGGGGGAGGGGAGGAGGGGGAGTGCACATCTCTAAATACACACAAATGCACAGACACAGCAAATGGGGCAAAATGTCCCAACTACCAAATCTCGGTGTAGAGCATACAGTGCTCACTGGATCATGCTGTACTTTTCCTATGTGCTTGAAAAGTTTCATAATCAAAAGTAGAAGAAAACAAAACAGCAGAGGAAAAAAACATAATGCAGAGCATGAAGTACAGTCTGGTTTTAGGTGTCCCTGGATGTGTGTGCCCTAGGTTACAACGTAAATGTATTTCATACTGTAGGTCCAGGCCAAGAGTGTGAAAATGCTGCCCTAGAGCTCTTCACTGCACCAGGCACACAGTAGGTGTGCAATGAACTATCTGTTATTTCCTTTTAGAAGCCCAGGACTTAAATGAAGAAGCTAGCTGAGAAATCATTTTATCTCCAGTTATATCCCATTAACTCAAGCTGTGTCAAAATATCCAAGCCATTTCCTGCCTGCGCACACTTAGTTCCAACCTCAACTCAGCCTTCAGGCCTTTCTGATCAGTTTAATTACTCATCAGCAAGGCTACTTCTGGTGTTCCCGTCGCTGCCAGGGAGGCGGTTGTGTTCCACTCTGAGTGGGGTGACCAGTTGTCCTGGTTTGCCTGGGATTGAGGTGTTTCGTAAAACCAGGGACTTTCAATGTTAAAACTAGGACAGTCCTGGGCACACCAGGCGGTTGTTCATCCTAAATCCGAGGAAAGACTGTGCGAGAACCTGGGACAGGTCCGGGAGAGTTGACACTCTCAGGTCATGTGGTGATGCTACCACTGCAACACGAACAACAAAGGCAAAACCCAGCCCAGGAAAAATTGCGACAAGACAGAGATCTCCACGATGGCATCCCTGCTGCAAGAGCACCTGCCAAATTGCAAAGTGTCTCTCACGCCCTTAACCAGAACCTCTCCCGATTACTCACCACTGACCTGGAGAGCAAAGGACACAGAGAACGTACCGTAAAAACGTCGTCATCACCAAGCTCAGCTTCGTTGTGGATGGTGGAAGATGATGTGGTTGAGCCTAAAAAGACAAAAAATAAATGTAATAAAAAGTGTTTTCAAAGAGAGTAAGTCCAGTCCAATCGTTTAAAAGGTAGATTTTAATAAAACCACACCTCCTTCCTTTCGTATGTAGCTCACTAACAGAGATGTTATCTGGGAATTAATGCTTTTAATTTATTCTTCAACTGACCCTTGCCAGGATGCCCCCTAGATGAACTTGGCCGACTGTTGTTCCCAATTAACCCCTTGAACTTCTGCACTGGCTACTAGAGAACAAGCACACAGAGAGGCAACACAGAGGAGGGGCGGTGAGAGCCTGCCCACAGCTCTGCTGTGCAAGGTCAAGACCAGCCTCTGCCAGCGATCCCCAGGCCCACCAGGGTATAGTAGGGAAAACACGGGATGGAAAACCCCCAGGTTAGACCCACCACCATCTCACTGTAAACTGGACTTAGCTTTCTAGTCTTTTCATCTACCAAAGAGGGGGCTTGACTCAACAGCTTGTGTGGTCCCCTCCTGTTCTGAAATTCAGGCACTGTTGTCTAAAACCCAGATGGTGGGAGCCACCTTCTAAGCCAGTGGTTCTCAACCTTCCTAATGCCGCGACCCTTTAATACAGTTCCTCATGTTGTGGTGACGCCCAACCATAAAATTATTTTCGTTGCTACTTCATAACTGTAATTTTGCTACTGTTAGGAATCGTCATGTAAATATCTGATATGCAGGATGTATTTTCATTGTTACAAATTGAACATAATTAAAGCATAGTGATTAATCACAAAAACAATATGTAATAATATATATGTTTTCCAATGGTCTTAGGCGACCCCTGTGAAAGGGTCATTCAACCCCCAAAGGGGTCATGACCCACAGGTTGAGAACTGCTGTTCTAAGCTGATACCAGGGCAATATTGTATTCTCTTGCAATACCAGGGTATCAGTGAGTTTTCTGTTTCTGCAGGCCAACATTTAGGCTCAGGTCAGAAAACCGGGTTTATTCCATCATGAAATGAGGGTTCAATTTATTTACCTTTTCATCTCTTCATTCTGGTATGCAAACCAGTAGAAATTCCCATCTTTGCCCCACTAATAGTACCCAGTAATGTGTGGATCAACAACTGACAGTTAGTGGCCAAAAGGAAAAATATTTAAATTTGCATAAGTGATAGACCAAGAGCAATTTATTTTCTACCTTCTCTTTTTCTTGGTTAAGTCTTTAAAAATATGCATTTAGAAAATATTTTGCTACTATGTAAAATAGAAATTAAAAGAATTGCTCAGAAAGGAAAGAGAGCCTGACCAGCGTGGCCCAGTGATTGAGCGTTGACCCATGAACCAGGAGGTCACGGTTTAATTTCCATTGTGGGGCATGCAGATGGCAGCCTATCAATGATTCTCTCTTATCATTGATGTTTCTAGCTCTCTCTCCCTCTCCCTTCCTCTCTGAAATCAATAAAAATATATAAAAAGAAAGGGAAGAGAAATATTTAAATCTCCAGCAAGGAACCCCTGGAGGAAAAATAAGTTCCATAATAAACTCTGCACAATTCGTATTGATCTTTCAGGGTTTTTCTCTACTATTTTAATTATACTAATCAATCAATATTTAAGGCAAGTTTGATAGAAAACAGCTAAGTAGAGAATACATAGAAAACATGACATGTGATCAATTTTGTTTATAAATTCAGTAATTAAGTATATGGACATACTGAAAACTGCTATCAGTAATAGAGGAGCTATTTTCTCTCTATACATTTAAAAGATATGTTTGATAACATTTTAATATTTGTTACTTAGGTAAGACCTATGATGTAAACACCAGTTTTCATTGGCTATCACGTGGTTGTAGTTAACAGATTCACGTTCCAGCTATAATTATCTTACTACTGATGTTAAGTAGCTTTTCATTGAAGATTTGCTTTTCTCTCTTCCCACAAATCCATAATGAAGAAAATGACTTCTGAACACTTTTATTTCTTAAACAGATGAAACACTGTTCATTCTTTTCTGATTGATTTTTATTTAGTTTTTATAATTAATTCTGAGGTTGGCTTTTGCTTGGTATTTCTTTCTTCATGGTTGTGGTACCAGTGACCCTCTGGTTTGAGAACTGAATGAGTTACAGTGGAGAAGTCGTGTGTTTGCATCTGTGGACTCTAGAAAAGCCCCTGAGAATCGATGGCCTAGGACAGTGGTCGGCAAACTGCGGCTCGTGAGCCACATGCGGCTCTTTGGCCCCTTGAGTGTGGCTCTTCCACAAAATACCACGTGCGGGCGTGCACGTTCAGTGCGATTGAAACTTTGTGGCCCATGCGCAGAAGTTGATATTTTGTGGAAGAGCCACACTCAAGGGCCAAAGAGCCGCATGTGGCTCGCGAGCCGCAGTTTGCCGACCACTGGCTAGGAGCCTTCCAGGCCAGGATCAAATGTACACAATGTCTACTAATCACTCACCACAGGGTAAGGCCTAAACCAAACCAGGTCTCCGGGAGTCACAGATCCCTTTCATATTCGGTGGCAGCTGCACACCTGGGCTCTGACAGCAAAAGGGCAATGGGTAGGCCTGGAGCCCTCTGGGCCCATTTGAATCTATTCTCCATTTTTGAGCCATGACCGATAGACCAAGCCGTTTCAATCGTCAGGGAAAGGTGAACTCCATCAGAAACTCATTCACATGGAAGTCTAGATCTTGTCTTTTCAGAGCAAAGTCTAAAAACCAGTTGGGACCACTTCTTACTCAGAAACCCATCTCCTTCCCCCCCCCCCCCCGGGTTTTTTCACTTTGTAATTGTTTTCCTTGGATGTTCCTAAAGTTTTGGCTCCTAATGACTGACCTGGCCACCAACCCTCCTTCTAATAAACCACAAATATATGATGGTGGACAAGAATGAACAATAACTCAGAAAAGTAACATAGTCCCACTAAGAATGCAGCGACAAACTCAATACCTTCTATAAGGTCTTCGATTGCTTTCCTCACTCCCCTGTCAAAGGCTCGAGCATCGGCAGGACTTTGGAAAGTAAGTCCAAACTTCCTATTGTCGACCTTCCAATGATGAAAGGTTGGGTTGGCTTTGGTGTAGACCAAGTCCTTTCTTACATAGCATTCCAATACCACCTGAAGGATTGAAACACACAGGCTGGTTAACTTGTGAAACAGTCATGCTGGTGTTTGGTTACAAAACTCTAACTGGGAACTGTCCATCTTTGGTGGCAACTAATGAAAACCCTCCTCTCCTGCCTTCAGGTATCTGTGAGTCTCTTCATTGGAAAGGCCTTTGCTTGCCTCTGTGGACCATCCATCCACTCTTTATTGACCTGTCCCCCTACCCCACCCCCCAACCCCCTTCCCTTTGGCGATCCCACTGTACTGTGGTACTCCTTCTCATTCCACTTCATCTCATTCCTCTTCCTCACTCCCTGATTGGGGGGCACTAAGCTGGGGTCCAGGTCTTGGGGCTTTGCTCTGTTCCAGGTGACTGATTCCATGCCAGGGCCTTTGTATTAGTGGCTCTTAACTGTCCCTCCTCTGTCCTAATGGGTGTTTCCTGGTGACCTCAAATCCAACATGTTGAAAAACTAACTTAATCTGCTCTGAAATTTCTGCCACTAGCTTCCTCTTCCAACTTCCCCACATCTAGCAATGCCAATCCCTCTTTGTTCATTCTCTTTGGTTTAAAATCTCCGCGGTTACCTTTGCCTCTTCTGCTTTCTCTGCCCCCTGTATTATTAATCACCAAGTCCGTTTCATTTTTCCTTCAATATCTTTTATATAAATTCATTCAAGTTGCTACTACCCTGATCTGGGTCTTTATTAACCCTTTATCTGCATTATTAGAACAATCTCCAAGTTTTTAGCCATTTCGCTTCAGAACTGCCTTTAACTAAGCTATAACTTTGCATAGATTGTCTCAGACACTTGGTTTTTTTTTATCTCTGAAATGGAAATAACACTAATATTATCAGTGTGAACATATACAGCATAAAAGCAGCATTGCAATCATGTGAATGTAAATTCCCTTCTTTATGCACAAAAAATCTCTAAAATATCAACAATATTTATCAACAATATTTATTCCTATGTACACCAAAATAATTTTGCTAAGTGTTAATAATAACTTTGATTTTGTTCTGGTGAAGCTCTTCACTGAGCCAAATGAAATCTTACTAAGAGAAGGGAAAGAGTAAAGGCCTGCCTAAATTAGTATAAATTCAAATTAGAGACTATTCTTAAATGAGTTCAGGTTTCAAGGATACATCTCAGCACACTAAGAAATTAAGTGCTGCCTACTAAATGTTCCCTAACTTCTAGACAGATGAGAACAACAGTCAAATTGGTATATCAAGTAGCAGTCCCAAGCAGTTAACTTTATTACATTGTATTGAAAGAAGACAACAGTCTTTTCATACAGTTTTATTTATGATTAAAATGCTTATTATGGCCGTTTCCCCCTAAGAATAGTGCGACGGTTAAATGTCAGCCCAGCCCCATTCCTAATTGGGGAAATCCAAATAACCAAGGCTTTAACTAACAAATGTTATCTATTTTAGAATTTAACAGTCTCAATTCAAGGTCTCAAAATAAACTTTTTGTAAAAACAAAGACTTCCAGTTTCTCCATATTTTTCGGGTGAAAAAATTAGTCTTTGGTTGACATTTTCCAAGTTTAAGATTATTACAACTGTACATTTTCTTACAGAAGTTTCAAAAAAAATGACATCATTAGATATCTAAGTTTAATGACAAAAATGAAAAAGTTCAGATGCTTTCATCTTACCAATAGGTACTAGTATAGTCCCTCTAATGAAGTTTAGGCATTAACTTAAAACTCAAAATATCTTTTTAGCCTGGCCGGCGTGGCTCAGTGGTTGAGCATTGACCTATAAACCAGAAGATCATGGCTCGATTCCTGGTGAGGGCACATGCCTGGGCTGCGGGCTGGATCTCCATTGTGGGGCGTGCAGGAGGCAGCCGATCAATGATTCTCTCTCATTGATGCTTCTGTCTCTCACTCCCTCTCCTTTCCTCTCTGAAATCAATAAAAATATATCTGAAAATAAAAATATATTAAAAATTATTGAAGCTTGACCCTTGAATGGACATCTTTTGTGTGATGAAGTGGAAGTACACATAATTGGATTCTCATCTCTGCTTCTGCGTCCAGTCTGCTGTCATGTTACTGGGGTTGCAGTATATGAAGAAAGCCTGGCTTTGCGCAAATGCGGTTGGGAAAGGGAAGAGAATTTCTAACAGCCTTTTCACTTCTGCTGCACAGGGAAGAACGACAACTGTCTCAAGGAAAAGCACTAGCGCAATTAACTACTTCAGTTGTGAGTTGACCTGCCTGCTTTTTTCATGGGTTTCCTTGAAAGAACCACTGACAGATGAACTACGGTTACTCAAACGTGTGTATTTGGCAGATCTTTTCTTTAATATGAGCACAGTGAGCCTGTCACTTCCAGGAAAACAACTAGAGTTATTTGTTGCCAATAATAAAATTTGAACTTTCAAGCGAAAGAATTGTGGACAGCTCCCCAACACTGCAAGACGTTTCAAATGAGATTAGTGGTGACATTGTGATTTTTGGATACGGTTGGGTTAAATGTACCAACATTTGGAAGATCTGCTTACATCATTATTTTCCAAATGACCAATGCATGAATGTTACAAAACCAAGAAAGAGTGAGTAAAAGATGTCATCAGAGTGAAAGATAAACCAGTGGATTTTATTGTAAGAGTATGAAAAATTCACTGATATGGCTTCAGAGTCCACATTCATAAAACTCTACAAGCCAAGTTTTGGTGTAGTATCAAAAAAGTATACCTATAATTATCTGAAAAGATTAAAGTACTTCTCCCTTTTCCAACTACCAACCTGTGTGAGGCTGGATTTTCTTCAACCAAAACAACATACTGCAAGAGACTGAAAGCAGGAGTCGACACCAGAATCCAGCCATTTCCCATTAGCCTGATATTAAAGAGATTTGCAAAAGCAAAATAATACTACCCTTCTATTTTTTATTCTGCAAAACAGTTATATAGTTAGCTCTCATAAAGAATGCCACCTATGCTAAAACTGCCACTTAAGATTAAAAAAATTTCCAGTTTGAATTTCTAAAATGGTAAATATTAGCAGCTATACCTCACAGCGTCAAAAGATTTTTGGGGTCCTCGATAAATTTTCAGTGCAAAGGGAGCCCGAGACCAGAAATGCTCGAGAACTGTTGTTGTCCACAAATCTTTGCGGGCGAGTCTATTTTTACAGGACAGGGCTCGGGTGTAAAACTGCCAGGTAAAAAGGTATGTCCCTTTAAAACCAACCGATGTCCTGCCACACTGCCTTTCGAAGAGCCCTGCCAGCTGGAGCTCCCACCAGACGAGAGCGCTCCCACCTGCACGCGGGGACGAATGGAATGATCAACCTTTTAGCTTTTGTGGTTCATTTTCATAAGGTGGTTCTCACAGGATTTGTTTCAGGAGTAAACTCCTCTAACCCATCTCAAATAAGATTGAACCCAGAAATTTTCAATTTACATATAATTGCTCAGGAAAACTTGACTGTCTCCAACTTACAGAAAATGATCCCAAACACCTTGTGAACGGATGTCTGGGACCCAGACTTGCCATAAAAACAGTAGCAGTTGAGTTCACAGGCCTCAACATATTAATTCAACACCAACAAAAACCAATGTTTTGAATTTTAGAACTGCACATTGGAAAAACCATTGACAACACGGTTTCTGTCAGAAAAAGCACTTCCTGTCCTAGCTGGAATACTGGGGATTCTGATACCATCCATCCACTCTATTCCAAAAATGATCTCCACTCTTTCCTCCAAATCCCACCATTTAGGGGTGTGTGTGTGTGTGTGTGTGTGTGTTTTCCTTCAACAACCCACCTTCCACAGGGACTCATACTCTGCACTAGGTGGGAGTGCTGCTTATGGAAGCGTGGAGGCCAAAAAAGGAGTCACCATATCTCCGGGGGGTGGGGGGGTGAGGAGTGGGGTGTGAAGGTGGTGGTGGTGGTGGTGGTGGTGGTGGTGGTGGTGTGTGTGTGTGTTGTGGGACGGGGCAGAGGGAGGGAGTAAAGTACCACTGAGTATAGAAGTCCAGAATTTCCTAGAGTGTGGCATAGGTAAGGTGAGGGATGCGAAGATGGAGTAGCATAATTGGGTGTGTGATTTAAATACTAGTGGATATAAAAGTCCAGAAGCGTAGAGTCAGAATGCAGAGGGCCAGGAAGGGGACAGAGTAACGGAGAAACATGATTGGGGAGAGGGTGAGGCACACAATCCTTTCACAACGGAAGCTGGCCCACAAGCAGGACTGCCCTGCTGCTGTGCGGAGTTAGTAAGAAGGCACCAGGTTTTGGCTTCACAAGGAAATGGTTCCCAATGCTGGCTCTGCTGAGGCTGTGTGCCTAGACCAGCCGTGGGCAAACTACGGCCCTCGGGCCGGATCCGGCCCGTTTGAAATGAATAAAACTAAAAAAAAAAAAAAAAAAAAGACCGTACCCTCTTATGTAATGATGTTTACTTTGAATTTATATTAGTTCACACAAACACTCCATCCATGCTTTTGATCCGGCCCTCCGGTCCAGTTTAAGAACCCATTGTGGCCCTCGAGTCAAAAAGTTTGCCCACCCCTGGCCTAGACAGAGGAAATGCGTCACTTCTTAGAGCACCGAGCTCCCACAATGTGGACATAATAGCATTGCTCCCTACAGCATGCTGCAGGGATTTAACTGAGGTGATTTACATAAGGGCCCTGAACAAAACCGCAAAGGTTTATTATGTATGTCAGTGGTAAGATACAAGTTTATAAATGTATTTATAAAATGAAGGCGTTGAATGAGACAAGCTAAAGGCCATTTTAGATTGACATATTCTATGACAAACCATAGAAATACCAGGGGAAAAAAACATCTAAAATAATATAACCATTCAGGTAAGATAATCTGTTAACACAAAAGTAGTAACAATAAAAAGGGTAAAAGGGGGAAAACTTTTCTTTCAAAATTTTTGTAGAAAAAGAACACCAACTAAAATAAAAAGGCAACAAATGTGGCAGATGAAGATTAATACCCTTCTGCTACCAGAGGGCATACATACACAGGAAGGAGAAAAGCAAGGTCCCAACAGATCAAACATCATTAACAGATAATTTAGTTGTCACTGTTTAACAAACAGAAAAACATTCGCTCTCATCAGATACCACTGATAATCTGTCAAATTGGTGAAGATGTAAAGTATCTGATCCTTGTTGTGTTTAGGATATTCTCATAATGGTCGCAGCTCTTCGTACAATAATCAAAAGTCATAAAAATGTGACCCTTAAGTTATTCCAAGGAAATAAAAATGTAGAAAATGCAGGTAGGTATCTACAGATGCAGAGAGGTAATCCTAGGGGAGGGAGCCAGGGGGAAGAACCTCAATATCTGACACTAAGGAGATTGTCAAATAAACAAAAATAATCAACCTGATAACAGCAACATGGAAAGTTGCTTATAATAATGTTAGGGCAAAACCAAAGACGAGCAGAACTGTTCATGAGTTCGGATTATGGCTAGTAAAAATAAAAATATGCATGAAGAGGAAAAGCTGCGTCAGAGCTAAATAAAGGTGGTTGTGCACATGCGACTTTGGCTCAGTTTTGGGGTCAGAGTGACAGAGTAGCAAATACTGGTTCCAGACTCCAAGATGAGTCACCAAGAACAAGCAGTCTTTCCGAATCTTAATTTCTTCAGGTCTGACTGCACCGGCTACAAGGACACAATGATGCAACCTAACTGCAGAGCTAGCACAGGGTCAATGCTATATAAAGGGTAGTTATTTTATATTGATAGCGTGGTTATACTGCCTTTATTGTGACTATCTTATAAACGAGAATGTTTAATTATTTGACTATCATGTAGAAAATTTCTTAAATAGACACATTTTCATTTATTTTATTTTTAGAGATGAATCAAGTGTGAAAGCAGCATTTCTATGAATCCATATATAATATTTACAAATTGTTCTGTCTTATTTCATAACTTTTAAAACAATAAATGTTTGTAAAATATTATATCTGTACACTTAGCACCTCATCAACTCAACAGACACCACAGTAAAGGGCTTCAGGTGTAACACTGACATGCTCTGCAGTGTCTCCATGCTTTCTCTGTTGAGATCCTGTACCATCTGGCACATTCTGAGTCATCTGATGGCTTTTGAGCGTATACTCCATGATTAAGTACAGATGGGGCAGCGTTCTTCCAGGTTCACACCACCAATTACAAATAGCGTTATCCCGGCTGGCATGGCTCAGTGGTTGAGCGTCGACCTATGAACCAGGAGGTCACAGTTTGATATCCGGTCAGAGCACATGCCCAGGTTGTGGACTTGATCCCCAGGGTGCTGCTTGTAGGAGGCAGCCGATCAATGATTCTCTCTCATTATTGATGTGTCTATCTTTCTCTCCTTCTCACTTCCTCTTTGAAATCAATAAAAAAAATTTTTTTAAAATAGCTTTAGATATTCAATTTCCCTTCATAATATAGAATTGGACATCCAAGTTCTTTCATGCAACTAACTGAATGGATTATCCATGTGCCCACCCCTGTGAGGTCATGATTACACTCCAAAGCGCGTGCGCACGCGTGTGTGTGTGTGTGTATGTGTATATATATATATATGTATATATATATATATATATATATGTATATATATATATATATATATATATATATATTTTGACCAATACAAAAGTTTATTTAACAAAAGTTCAATGTGAAAATGGACTCTATTTTTATATTGTAGTAAAACAGGTGCTATGGAGAGGGGACATGTGGGAGCAGTTGATTTCTCTGGCAACTATAGCCATTCTTCATACTCGTTCCAAGGCTTATAACATGCTGGTACTATTTCCTCGTATTACCACCATCCCAATATTGTTCTGTTGCCCACCAGTTGCCATCTCCACACATTCATCTATCACAAGATTCATAAAGGGATCAAATCCCCGTAATATTCCTTGGACATGTCTGCCACCATTTAATTTCAAGGATAACTGCTTGTCCATACATTGTTTTAACTCGGGAGGGTGAGCTTTGCTCATGGTGGCCAAGTGAGCTCAAAGAGACTTCCAAAGCGTATATTTTTAAGCACGTAGAATTAGTATGGAAGTGTGATACCACTACTTTTTGTTACTTTCTTTTTCCAAACATGCTTTATTCATTACCTTATGGAATTAAAGCTACCCTATCTTTTAGCTAAACATGTATTTAGAAGTAACCAAATATTAGGTGGCTCCTTTTCTTTCCACCTTTTCACCAACCAACCAATCCTTGGTGGCATGCTCCATAAAAAAAAACAACCCTGCACTTTTAAAAAGTCTGACTTCACAGCTCACTACAATCTGATTCATAATAAAGAACCCACTTCTGTTTTGAATATCTTGTTACAGTGACAGCATCCGAGTTACTCTGAGCATCCGAGTCATACGGTGTGTGTAAAAGTGACTTTGCTGGAAAGCCAGGGTTATGTTTTTGTAACTTGGCACCAGCTCCAGACTTATAACTTTGGAAGCTTTCCTAAGAGTTTGGGGTCAGAGAAAGAAGGGAAGAAATAGCCTACGGGAAGAGGGCTGTGATTTAAGGCAAAGAAATCAGTCATTGCTGATTTAACCCCCGCACCCCCCGTCTGCCATTACCAGTTTGTCTTTCTGCCGTTCACCATGGATGAGAAAGCCGCTTCGTCCATTGCCTTCGGGGTGCATGACCTTACAGACCCCCACGCGACTGATCCCGCCTCCTTCCTGTGGGAACCATCCCCCGCTGGAGTCATCTCTGGTCATAACCACAGCCTTGACACGCACAATATAGCTGTCACTAAAACGACAACAAGAAGAATGGGGCATGACAATGGTCTGGCAGTTGCAGGACACGTTTCACAAAGCAAGATGCCAGCATTTGCTGGACTCATCGACGGGAAACCTACGCCTGGCAGCAACCTTCAAAGGCAGCCATCTCAACCTTCAGAGAAAAACCAAAACTTTAATTAACTCAATATAAACGTACATTTTAAAAAAAGATGCCCAGAAACTAAAAATATTTGTTTTTTAAGATGTATGTCCAATTTCTGGGTGGTAAATATTAATGATAAAACAAATGAGCTGGCCCGGCTGGTGTGGCTCAGTGGTTGAGTGTCAACCGAGGAACCAAGAGATTGGGGTTCAATTCCAGGTCAGGGCACATGCCTAGGTTTCCGGCTTGATCTCCAGAAGTGGGTGTGCAGGAGGCAGCCAATCAATGATTCTCTCTCATCATTGATGTTTCTATCTCTCTCTCCCTCTACCTTCTTCTCTCTCTTAAAAAAAAAAAATCAATAAAAACATTAAAAAAAAACAAACCCACACAAATAAGGTGATCTCTATAGTTTGGAATCATACGTTAGGAAAGACAAATCTATTAACTTAAAAGGATATTATGGTTTCAACCATTAAAACTTAGTTTATAATGCCAAGGTTTAACATTTTATAAAACTAATAATCCTCTGATTTAGCATAACAATAGGAAAATCCTTTTCCAAATCACAAATTCACTATACAATCACATATAGGTGGGAAATATTTCAATTTAAGTGCCCTTTACACGTGTGTAACCTCTTGATTCTATTTTTCCAGTCTAAATTTCAATTTCACATTAAGTTCTTTTGCACAGTTGCCAAACATCCTCTTTCTTCTCCAGAGACCAACTCTAGCTTCTTTTCATTCTTCTGTCACTTTGCGGGAAATTTATTTGGATTTTCAGCAAGGCCATTAAATCTCACTTGCTGCTCTCTTTCTTTGGAAAGAATTCATTTTTTACTCATTCAAACATATATCCCCGTCTTCTGTACGCCAGGCACTGTGCCAGATTCCAGGGAACGAAGATGCAGAGTAACACAGAACCCCCTCCCTCCGCCTTCCGGGCCCGGCGCTGAGCCTGGCCACGCAGTCTGCAAGCTGCTGGAGACCATTTGGACAGTCCCTCTGCCCCACGTCCCTGATCACCTTACTCACCCAAAGACAAAGCCACCTAGATTCCCTGGTTCCCTAGAGAGCTTACCCTCTACTGTGACCCAGCTCCCTTCCCCCTGTGCCCATCAGAATCAAGGTCTGACACCCCACCCCTTACCTTCTTACCCCCCTTCCTCAGACTTTTTTTTGGTGGTAAAATATACATAAAGTAAAATTTACCATTTTAAGTGTCCAATTCCATGGCATTGAATTAAGCACATTCACATTGTTCTGCAATCATCCCCATCACCCACCTCCAGAACTTCTTTCATCTCCCCAGACTAAAAATCCATACTCACTAACTCCCCGTTCTCTCTTCTCCCCAGCCCCTGGCAGCCACTATTCTACTCTGGGTACCTCATGTAAGATCCTTTCACTTTCTTAACCTCAAGGCACAGGTGCTCTGGGCTGAGCCTCAGGCCCCGCACACACTGGGCTGCTTTCTCACCTCTGCTGCAGGCCAGTGGCCCTCTCCCCAGCTCCTCTGAAGCTCCCGAGTCTGACCATGTCCCCACTACCCCTCTTCAATCTTCAGACCTCGGGGTCACTCCCCCGCATTCCTTGAAAACACTCATTGTCCCTCCATCTCCCCACCATGATCCCCGTCATGATTCTTTCTAATTTCATTATTCACCCAAAGGATCCTTCCGATTTCTTGGCCCCTCAGTTTCTGGAAATCTTCTGCTCCTGTGACCTGGTCTCCCACCCAACCTCTCCCACCCATGCCGAGTCACAGCCTTAACCTTCAACAATAGCTGTACAACTTCCATGACCTCAATTCTAACCATCCTGCCCTCCAGCCACCACCTCCCGAATTTGCAAGCTCCCTCCCTCGCTCCCTCAACTTCAGTAACTGCACCCACTGGGGCCACAATCTAGTGTTATGACCCCCCAACCCCACTTCCCACCCCCTTATGCTCTTACTTGATTCTCTACCCAACTCTTTTGCATAAAACCTTAACGCATTTCTTCTCTCTTCATTGTAATTGCCTGGCGAAACCCCAACTCAGGGGAAATCCCACCATCTACTCAACTCCATGCTCCCACCCAGGCTGCTGAATATGGTTAGAGGAAAACCCCCCACTCTGTTTAACTTATAGTTCTAGGGTGAAAGTCATAAGCACTAACCTCCATGGGTCCTAAAGAGCCACCCAGCATCTGCTACATTCCCCAAGTCTGTCCCCAAGCTCACTGCACGTGTCCTCCTACCACCTCCCTCTCAGATGATGGATGAGCTCGCTTTAATTTCAGTGAGAAAATAGACACCATCAGAAAAGGCCCTGCACCTATGCCCACCAGCACGCCGACGACTCTGGACCCGGACTCTCTGCCTCTCCTTTGATAACTGGCTAAACCGTCCACGGTCCAAGCCAGGGTCAACAGCTGCAACGTCAGTTCTGTCCATGAGCCAACAGTGGCCAAATTCAGGTTTCTGTCCAGACCTCTTCTCTAAGCTTCAGAACAGTAAAACCAACCGCCTATGATTTCTCTGCTCGGGTATCTAGTAGGCACATCAATCAGCAGGTTGAAATCGTGATTCCCAACACCTTCCTATCCAGGAGGTTCTCCCTTTGACACATATCCAGAACCCACATTTTACTACCTCCCTCAACTCTGCCCTGAGCCCAGCTGTCACCACCTCTCAGACTATTGCAGTAGCCCCCTAACTGGCCTCCTTACTTCCACACATGCCCAACTTTCTAAGAAAATAGACAGGTGACTCAGAGTATGACACTCGACTCAAACCAACCCTGCAACATTTCTTTATTATTACTCTGAGTAAACGTAAAAAATCTAGCACTTATCTACCACTCTCCTCCTTGCTCATTCCACATTAGTTCCACTGTCCTTGAGGGCCCTCCACATGAAGCACATTCCTACCTCAGGGCCTTTGCACATGCTTAAAACGCCATTTCACTCTTCTCCCCACACAAACTAGGTTCATTCCCAAGGTTAATTTCATCATAGAAGACTTCTCTGTCCATTTTATATACAGTACCGTGAACTCCTCTTCAATCTTCTCACCCTGCTTTGTCTTTTTACATGCTGCTAAGTCAACCCCGGGCCTATTTGTTTGTCCACCTTCCCCAACTAGAATGTAAACTCCCCATGAGAGCAGGGACTTTGCCCCTTTTGTTCTAGGCTCTATATCCCTAGAGCCTAGAACGGTGTCTTACATGTAGTAGGTGATACAGTGATTGGGTTAAATACACAATATTTATCAACAGGTTTAAAAAAATAATTTGTAGCTAACAGAATTCCTGAGAAGACATGAAGTGTTCAATACCCTTTTGCTTATGAGCCATAATAGTTTAACTGGGATCAGGTAAAGATTTCCTCTTCATTAAACAGGAAAACTGGCCCTGGCCGGTTTGGCTCAGTGGATAGAGCGTCGGCCTGTGGACTGAAGAGTCCCCGGGTTAGATTCTGCCCAGGTTGTGGGCTTGGTCCCCAGTGGGGGGCGTGCAGGAGGCAGCCAGTCAATGATGCTCTCTCATCATTTATGTTTCTATCTCTCCTCCCTTCCTCTCTGAAATCAATAAAAAGGTATTTATAAATAAATAAACAAACTGAATTTTAAAAAATCACATCATTAATCTATTTTAGGATCCCACATGCATATTCCTTTAGATCATAGAGATTAAGAACATTTTTTTACATTTGTTTAGATTAGTTGCATACAAACATCTTGAGAATATCTTTTTTTCCTCCAATACCTCATCTTCTCTAGAAAAAGGAAGGGGTCCCAGGATGTGTAAAAGGTGTGGTATGAAACTCAGCTTTTCAACTCTCCGGTAAGTGCAGTGGGTTCATCCTGACGGGAAAGGCCAAGGTGAATAACTGAAACTCCACACACCTCTTACTGAAACATGCTTTCACTGTTTCGGTGTTGCAGCTGTGTACTGGTCTCCTTTCGAGTGGATTAAGTATGAAAAAGGAAGTTTGTATTACTTATGCTCGTGTCATAAACTTATTTCCAAAAAGTATTCATTTATTAGAGATTTTTAAAAATGCCCCACCCCTTGGCGTCCCGGCCACAGGCGCTAATTTGGGCCTTTGCTTTTGGGTCGGCAGCATCCTCCTTCCTGCCTTGATTCATCTCACGCCCCTTCCTGAGGGCGGACGTCTTCTCTGTGAGGGGCTGCGTGTGATGGGGCTAGGAGGACAGAAGTCCACCCCCCACTCCCCTGTCTTCTCTGGTAACAACTCCGACAGCCAGCATTAACCGAGGCATCTGGCTGTTTAAAACGAGGTGGGGGATAAAGTGCTGCACTGAAAGCTGTGAAGGCTGTCTGGGTAATCCAGCTGCATGGCTGTGTGCCAGCTGCTTCCTAGCCGTGGTGTATTTACGTTACTCAGGCATCTCCCCCCACCCAGAACAGACACGACAGTGAACTCTCCTACCAGAAGGTATAGGGAGGAAAATTCCCTTCCCACCTTCCCTCCCCTCCTTCTGGAAAGAATTAAACAACATGTTTAAACCAGATGTGGGGGTGGCTGGGGGAAGGAGGGGAGCAGGAAGGGCAAAGGTAGGTTAGTGTTCTAACGTGTACAAGGAACATGCTGCTAGTGAGCCTCAGAAATTTTACAAAATAATGTTATTTTTGTTAAAAATAACAACAACAAATATGCTTCTGAAAGTTTCAACAGCCAAACTAGTGTAACTGATTCAGGACCTGGTGATGTTCTAGGCGTGTGTCCAGATACCAATTGAACGGAGCCCTCGTGTCTGAATTTGAGCTAAACTGCCCCGTAGAATCAACGTCCGTGCAAATGGTGTTTGACTCCCACCATCCAAACAATACCATGTTCTTTAGATCAGTGGTTCCC